CCAGTCCTCGATTTTTGAGTCTCACACTTGTCTCACACACAAACCAAAATCCTACCACGAAAGAGGAATCCGCAAATTGCCTGTAAAATGGGCACAAGTCGTCGATAATAATGAAAGTTATTATAAATAGTCTTGCTTGGGAACTTTTGGTGCATTCCCCATACAGTCCGGACCTCGCCCCTTCTGATTACTATTATTGAGTAATGAGCTTTCGGGAGAACACTTCGATCCGGAAAAAAGAGTCAAAAATTGGCTTTGCAAGTTTTTCGATTCAAAACCAAAATCCTACCACGAAACAGGAATCCGCAAATTGCCTGTAAAATGGGCAGAAGTCGTCAATGATAATGGAAATTATTTGGAATGAATTGATGGTTTTATGTTGAATAAATTTTAGTTCAAAGTCCGGCAGTTTTCAATTCACCAACCCAATATATGAAGCGCCAAGGTACAATAGAAGTTTAAAGTTTAGCTACAACTTCATCTCAAAATCCGAATCAAACTGATCTCATTCATGTCAAAAAAAAATGCATTTGTACGAGTTTTTTTTCCATCGAAAAGTTGCGACTGTTTCTCGAAAAGGAAAAGGATTTTCTCTTTCTCTTTCTCTTTCTCTTCATCCACATTCACTTCATTCACCCATTTACAATGCAAAGTCTCCGCCAGTGAATGGTCATTTTCCAGAAAAAAGGAGAAAAGTGCGTGAAATAAAGTGACAGTTAGATTTAATTCAATGCAAAATGTTTACTCACCGATTTTTTTCCGAAAAAGGGACTCGGGGACTGAAGGGAATTGATTTTTGAAACTTTCATAAATAAAATTGGCTACTTTTCAGAGATCTTGCTGTATTGGTTCATTGCTTTATGCTGTATTGGCTTTTTTTTACAGTATCCAGCACATAATCCAGCTAGAGTAGATGGAATTGTTGTCACATCTTGCTGTATTGTTGAACTGGCTTTTCACAGTGCTATAGTAAAACGCTAGCACTACAGTACTCCTTTACTAATAGTTATAAACTCCTGGTGTTTTTGTAGTACGCAGACAAGTTCAAGACAAGCCAGTTGAAGACAAGCCAGTTCAACAGTCAACAGTCAAACCAGTTCAACAGTCAACAGTCAAGCCAGTTCAACAGTCAACAGTCAAGCCAGTTCAACAGCCAAGCCAGCCTCTGTAGAGCTGGCTGGCTTAGGATGCAAAGTACTGTACAATAGTACTCATAGTCAGGATGTAACTTAAACTAAGTAGATGCTGTACTCACTACTGTACTCACTATTGTACTCACCAAAAAGCTAGTCAACCATTTCCACCTATAAGTAAGCTTATTCAGTGTATCGGAGCTGACTATAGTACTCTTTGATATGCTATGTACTCTGCTATGTACTATGCTATGTACTTTGATATGCTATGTACTTCTTTAGCTATGTACTATAGGTACTATACTTAATTTTTAATGCACTCAATCCATATCTCCCCCCAGCTCTCCACTCATAAGTATTATTCAGTCAGTGTTTTCCCCCACTTGACCATTCCAAACACAACCCTTCACACATTGGACATGATACAAGAACCATTTCAATGTGTCGGTTCTCTTTTCGCCATTCATTTCATGTATTGATGCGGCTTCCGGTCAACGGACAATAGGAATGCGAATGGAGAGTGGGAAATGAGAGAGGAAAGTGACCCCTACTCATGCAAATTCCCATATAGGTGAATAGTATATCCTGGAGGGAATGGGAGTTGAAGAGTTCAAGTGCTGGATGATCAAATGGGGAGCCGGGAAGAATATTTGATCAAAGCTATTAGCTTAGTTATTAGCTTAGCTATTATCTTAGCTACTAACTTAGCTATTAGCTTAGCTACTAACTTAGCTCTATAAGCTATTAGCCCTATAAGGCAATAGATAGATTTGTTAGGACTAGATCAATTTAACTAATAACTTGATATCTGAAAAACAAAAATCTATTTCTATTTCACGTGTTGTTTTTCCAATTTCCTTGATCTTCACATCTTCAAGATAGAAAAAACTAAAAATAATCTAAACATTTCAAGTGTTGGAATCAAATTTATTATAAGATTATTATAAGATTATTATAAGCTTTATTATAAGATTATTATAAGCTTTATTATAAGCTTATTATAAGACAACGATCACTGCTATGACTACAAATCAGTATTGATTCAAGAGTCATGAAGATGCCTTTTCAGTACAATTATTCACTCGTCTTTCTTCTCTGAAGATACCGAATAGCTCAGTGGCTAAAGCAAAAGGGTTGAGCAAAAGATCGAGGGTTCAATCCGCTCTCCGGGAATCTTTCTTTACTATTCTTAGCTCAGGCATTATTTTTTTTTGATTGCTTTGATTGATTGATGGCTATCTTTGTAATTTTCCCATCCTATATAAAGATTGCTTTATTTGCAAACTTGAACTGGATTATGAATGTTTTTGGTGCCAATATTGATCCAGTTTCAACTTTTATGAGTTTCAATCTGAAAGAATTCGCCCTAGTCTAGATGCAGATCATTTCATAGTACTAGATTTCGGCTATAGTCTAAATTTTTCGAATTTCATTTCACTTTAGCACTGAGCTGATACTGATACTTGATACTGAGCCCACTGAGCCAATAATTTCCAATTACAAGAGTTTCATTCTGAAAAAATGACTACAAATTTCTCTCGGAAAACTCGTAACGTCTAAAAGACGATCAACGATTTTGATTTCAAAAAGAAATGCATGGTCACTCGCTTCTTTCCCCTTTTCATCCTTCTTCTTCCCCTTTTCACTCCACTAACACTCTCTTTACCTGTACGTATTTGAGAGTGCGTCAATGTGTCGGTCACTGCCGCAAATCCCACCCAATTTTGGCTGGTCACAGCAAAAGGCAAACCACGAAAAGGAAAGGCAGGTAATTGCACACACATACACACACACACACACACCTTCACCCCCTCTTTAGAACGAACCCCAAGCCCAAGGTCGACCACCCGTACTCTTATGATCTGTGTATGCGGGCATAAAAGAATTTCCCCCCTCAGAGATACTAAGGGTTTTATTCAAACCACATGCGGTCATATATTTTCTTTCTTTTCGTGCGTTTCTTTTCAATCGCCTCCACCCGATCCCATTGACCGAAATATGCAAAATTGAGCGCACTAAGGGATCGGCTCTTTTATCCAAAATACAATCAAATATTGGACTTGGAGATGGAAAGGAAATGATTGTATTTTAGAATGATTGTATTTTAGAATGATTGTATTATAGAATGATTGTATTTTAGAATGATTGTATTATAGAATGATTGTATTATAGAATGATTGTATTATAGAATGATTGTATTATAGAATGATTGTATTTTAGAATGATTGTATTTTAGAATGATTGTATTTTAGAATGATTGTATTTTAGAATGATTGTATTTTAGAATGATTGTATTTTAGAATGATTGTATTTTAGAATCATTGTATTATAGAATGATTGTCTTTTTAGAATGATTGTCTTTTTAGAATGATTGTATTGTATTCTACACTAAGTTCAGATCTTTTAAATGATTGAATCAAACCTGGAAACAAAGGGATAGAGATAAAACTCTTAAATAAAATCGGATTGTTCTCTCGATTTGGCTACTGTTAAAGTTATACAGGGTGTTCCACAATTACTGATACCCCGACCCCTCATCATAAAAGCATTTAAATTGTCCAACGCGAGCGATTTATTGACTGTTTTTTGAGTTTTTCTTGTTTTAAACATGTTTTCATTTAATAATATTTTAAAAATTGTCCTTTTTTAAAAATGGCCAAGCCCTCCAGCTTTCGCGACTTGATCATTTCTTTTCACAAGAAAGGTATTCCTGCACGATCGATCCGTCAACGACTGGGAGTGACAAAACAACTTGTTTTGCGAACATGCAAACGTTTTAAGTCCCTTGGAACAAATCAGGATCGAAAGGGACGTGGAAGTCTTGTAACTTTGGCTGTTAAGACTGTTATCAAGAACGTTCGCGAGAGAATAAGGCGCAACCCGGAGAGAGACCTGTTCGTCAAATGGCGCGTGAAATGAAAGTTCCTGTGACTTCCATGCATCGAATCGTTCGAAAACGCTTAGGAATGAAAGCTTTCAAGAAAAACAAGTGTCACGGAATTACCGATGCTACAAAACTTAAGAGAGAACAGCATTGTGCTCAACTTCTTGCTCGGTTTCCTGGAAAAGCTCACCGAAGGATTCTTTTCACCGATGAGAAAGTTTTTACGGTCCAGCAAGTGTTGAACAAGCAAAACGATCGAATTTACGGCATTTCTAATCCACACAAATCAGTTTCGCATTCTCTTCATCCGACCTCGGTGATGGATCTCCCCTACTTGCGTGCCACGGTCGACGACTTCCCGAAGCGCCTTCAACTCTGTATCAACGCGAAAGGAGGACATATCCGATAATTGTCGTTTTTCCATTACTTTACTATCTAATTTGTTAAAAATAAAAGTTTCATCACCAGTTTTCTACTAAAAAAAGTTTTTTCAAGCTAGTTATCAGGTATCAGTAATTGTGGAACACCCTGTAGAATGATTGTATTGTATTCTACACTAAGTTCAGATCTTTTAAATGATAGAAAATGATCGAATCAAACCTGGAAATAAAGAGATAGAGATAAAATTCTTAAATAAAATCGGATTGTCCTCTCGATTTGGCTATTGTTAAAGTTATACAATAGATGTAGAATTTGTGACAAAAATAAAACCACATTGGTAAAGATTTGTTCGTTTTAATGTTTTTGATAATTATTTATTCGCATTTATTCAGCAAAAATGATAAAAACCGCAAAGAGAACCTCGTTTCATATGACAAGCTCGTTGCAAGACGGGTTTTTTTGGCACTCAGACTTTGGCAAGATCAAATGAGATCAGTTGATAGAAGAAATCGATCAGAATTATTTAAGAATTATTTAAGAATTGTTTAAGAATCTAACAAAATATAGCAAATCAACAAATTCTGCAAAAAGAAATTTTTTCATCGTTCTCGCGACACTTTAGCCGTCCACCAATAGTAGAGACCGATCGAGTTGATCCCGAAAGACATGAGAATGAAGAAGAAAATGAACACGATTAGGCAAACCTGAAAGAACGATTGAAAAGAGCTATATCAAATAAAATTTGAACATAAAATGTTCCTCATATTACTCAATAATTTTAACATAAAACTTTGACACTTTTGGTTTTGAAGTTGAAGTTGAAAAGTTGGCTTTAAAGCTAGATCAACTAGTTAAAACAGTTCTCTACTCATAACAGGCTACTTTTTAGACAAGAAGAAGTGAAGGAAGTGGCAAGAAAAAAGATTCTCGGAGAGGGATTGAACACTCGATCTCAATCGAACCCTCGACCCTCAACCGGGCAATTGCTCTAGCCACTGATCTATCCGGTACCTTAACTTGTGAAGAGAAAAAAGGAAAGACAAGGGGGAAGAAGAAAGGAGGAAGTCATAAGTTATCATTTCAATTTCAATTCCGTTTCTCACCCGTTCAATCACAGCCGCCAACCAGTCGAACTCAAGCTCGGCGAGATTTCGCGCTGTTCGCGGCGTTGTTGCTAAGAAAATTTTCTTCGTTTTTAAAAGTTTAGCTTTAGATTCGATACTGAAAACATTAGCTTTCACTAAAAATGTTTTTTGAATGTAATCTTTGGGTGCTGCTAAAGCCGAACATGAATTTTTCGCTATGTTTAATATTTATGGCGATCAATAGACCAATAGATCACTCGTTTTGTCCAAAGCTAATGTTAAAAAAAAGAAACAAACATATCAAACACATATATTTTAATAAGTTTAAGTCACTTTTTCAAAATTATTGTCTTGATGTTTGTCTAGAAATTTCTATGGAAAGCTCTTTTTAATGATTGTCCCATAGATTCGAAAACTTGAAAAGGTTGAATAAATCGAGTTCTTTACAAATTTATGTTAAGTTTTCTTAAAAGAATCAAAACTAGAATATGATTCCAACACTTTTAATGTCCCATAGATTCAAAAATTGACAAATAGTTAAGAATTTCTTATCATTAAACAAGAACAATTGAAATCTGTCTCCTTTTAGTCAAATTTAGTGATCGAGTTCCAATAACTCGGTTTTTCTCATAACAAATTGTGTAAACAATAAAAGTAAATGAGCATTTTGTCATCATATTTGTCCCTACTCTGCTTTCTTAATGATTTTTTTTCATAAAACGATTTTGAAAGCGTTAAACAACTCAACTCAAACAACAACAACTTAAAAATGTCCAGAAATATTAAATCTATTAAAAAAATGTGTTCTGTTGAGCTAGAATTAACTTCTTTGAACTTAATAGAACTGCTATGCTAGTAAGAACTTTGAATAGCTTCCAAATTATCCATTTAGAGTCTTAAAAGCTAACTCTGAACATATAATTGGCTCAAAAAAGTACACCAAAGTCGTTGGGCAACAGCTTGGAAGTCTAAAATATCTACAAAAACATTTCTATAGTCAATAAATGCTAACTAGTATATTTTTATCAACACATTCAATAATTTAATCTTCTTTTGGCTAAACCAACGATCAAAAGTGACGCCTATCCGCAGAGCGCTCTCCAGTGATTGACATGTGCTCGTTTTGTGTAGGAATTTCGACGGTGGGAAATCCAAATCTTCCTGAAACAAAGGAAAATAGAGTACTTGCAATATATAGAGTACTTACAATAATATGTATAGAATAACTTACAGTACTTACAGTAGTAAATAAAACCGATTAAAGCTTAATCCCAAACCTTATCATCATCGATATACGACGTGTCCTCATCCAGATCTACATCGCCCATCGGTGTGTACTCTGGTATTGCATGTGTTCCATCTAAAAAATAATCATTTTTGCAAAACTGTATGGAAATTTTTACTGATTTTAAGCACTTCCGTGCTGATGTTGAGACTTTTTCGCGTTTTTTCCATCGTTATATTGTCCTCTTCAGCGTTTACGTGAACGGTTTTTGGAGAAGAGTTCGATTTGAGATTCTCTTTGGACTGAAAAATCAACTTAGCTGCTCTACTAGGTTTCAAAATCTATCTAAATGCTTAAACTAAGTAAATCCAAGTCATTACCTTGCTCAACTTGTAGACTTTTTGCCAGAGACTCTCTTTGCGTTGACGTTGCGTTTTTCGTAGTCGTTCTTCCTGGAAATTTACAGAAGTCATTAATTTATTATTGGTTAAAGCATGCAAAGTAGAAAATGAAAAGTTTAAAGGTTAAGCAATAGAGAAAAAAGATAGAAAAAGCCTACTCGTGCCTTTTGAGCATAAGCTTGTCGCATCAATAGCGGGATCTCCATACGAACGAAACGTCCAACCACTCGAGCCCATCTCATTGTCTCTGCAAAAGATTACATTGAAAAGTATATCCAAATATTGTATAAAGATTAAAAGATTGTTTTAGAACTCATTTCCAGAGTTGTTCCGGGACACATTAGGCAAAAAAAAGGCAAAAAATGTTTTGATGAAAATCAAAAATCCGAATCCTAAAAATTCTAAGGAAAAACAAAATTCAGGTTTTTAAAATCTTTTGCTAATTGTTAATTGTTAATATTTTGTTCAATAAAGGTCAATCAAGATCAAGATTTCAAAATTCATTTACCTTTTCTAGGCGGTTTCCCGAGGATCCCCTGTTTCTGCACATAAATGATCACCGATGAGAGTAAAGTGGAAAATGATATCAATAAAATCATACATGTGTAGAACCAGCCTAGAATTTTCTGCATTATATTATCGAAGTTAAATTAAATTAAATCAAATTTACCAATTAGTGGAATAAATGACGACGTTGATGGCATTTTATCGGAAACCATAAAGATGAGAATCGACATCGAGAGAAGTGTCGTGATACCCAAAGAAATCTTCTCTTCGCGAAGCTCGTTGATCGACGAGCAACTGCAAAAGAGTTATTCGATAAGTCGATAAGTTGATAAAGTTGTGTAAAGTTGGGGTAGGCTACTTTGCGCCAAATTTTTTGCGCAACAGGGTCATTTGCGCAACTCGCCAAACTTTCTTCTAAGTGGACCAATCTTTATTATGTTGGTTTCATTTTATTTCATTTCATTTGTGCCATAACTTTTTTTCTAAGTGGGTCAATCTTTATGATTTTGGTGTCATTTTGTTGCACTTGTTGAGATCTACAAAATGACACCAAAATCATAAAGATTAGTCCACTTAAAAGCAAGTTAAGTACTTGTGGGGTTGGGGGAACTTTTTTCTGCAAAAGTACTTTTTCTAGGGCAGTTTTTTTACGTAGATTACGAGATTACTAGACATTTCATAGATCTCAATAATTGTAACAAAATGACACTCAAATCATAAAGATTGGCCGACTTAGAAGAAAGTTATGGCGAGTTGCGCAAAAGATCTAGTTGCGCAAAAAATTTGGCGCAACTAGATGTTGGTTTCATTTTATTTCATTTCATTTGTGCCATAACTTTCTTCTAAGCTAGCTAATCTTTATGATTTTAGTGTCATTTTGTTACAATTATTGAGATCTACAAAATGAAACCAACATGATAAAGATTGGCCTACTTAGAACAAAGTTATGACGAGTTGTGCAAACGATCCAGTTGCTCAAATGACCCTGTTGCGCAAAAAATTTGGCGCAAAGTAGCCTACCCCGTAAAGTTTACAAATTCTCACCTAAAGAATCCGACAATCGATATCAACGTGATGATGCTCGTCGGAGTGATCAAATTGATCACATAGTAGAGCGGTTTCCTCTGCACATGTAGATAGAAATCGAGTAGAGTGTAATTGTTTGGGCAGCAATCGTACTTCTCAACTCGTCTAGTCACTAGAAAAATTTAAATTAAAGAAACACTGAATTGAAGAATCAAAATGAACAAAACCAAGGAAAAATTCATTGAATTTATGGTCAAAAGCTTACAAAATGAACTTTAAAAAGCAAGTTTTCAATACAAAAAAACAGATTTAACGTCTCAACTTTTATTAGGCTATTCAGAAAATCTTTTCGTTTCTTTTACTTTCGTTTAAAACCAACAAATGTTGAAAACAATTGGGGGTAGGCTAATTTCCGCAATTTTTTTTTGCGCAACTCGCCATAACTTTCTTCTAAGTGGTCCAATCTTTATGATTTTGGTTTCATTTTGTTGCACTTATTGAGATCTACAAAATGAAACCAACATGATAAAGATTGGCCTACTTAGAACAAAGTTATGACGAATCGCGCAAACGACCCAGTTGCGCAAATAACCCTGTTGTGCAAAAAAAATTGCGGAAATTAGCCTATCCCAACAATTGAAAACCATAGATGAATTTGTGAATTTGTTATTTTTCAATGAAAGTATGAAAAGAAATGAAAAAAAAACTTTCTACACAGCTTAATACATACTCGTCAATAGTACAAAAAAGAAACTAACAAGGAAATGCCAAGTCATAATGTCACGGGAAAATTCAGCGGGAAATGCTTCCCCGCGCGCCACAGTGTCGCCGGAAACAGCTGCGGGAAATCCAAAAATTTGTCTCGGAGAAATTTCCCACGGGAAAAACCAATCCAACAGAAATTTCCCGCGGGAAAATTTTAAAATGGAAAAAATTTCTCGCGCAAACACTGCGGGAAACTTCTTACGCCATCCTCTTCCCCGCGAGATGATGGCATGATAAAGGGACAGGAAGGGGAACTATTTCTCGCAACATTATGACCTCGGCTTTAAATCCCGCAACTGGATGTGGTGGCCAAATGATGTAAGTGGTATAGTATTCGACGCAGAATTTCACGCTGTTTCCAAATCTGCTTTCCGCTTCTGATATGAAGCACTCTGTCAAAAGTTATAAGCATGAAAAGGTTTGTATGGGTTTTTAAAAATCATACCCTGAATTTATAAGCAGATTTCCCAAAGACTTTAAGAAGCAGTGGCCGAGTGGAAGTAGATCAGAATACAAGATAAAGATTCTCTAGTTTGAGTCCGTTATTCTGCTTTTTTCTATTGCTTTTTTAGATTTGTAAAGTTAATTGTTCTCCATTTCAAATACAATTTTATTTTAAACTACTTCTCATAAAAAGTGTTTATTTTTAACTATTAACATCAAAAACCTATCATTAAAATTAAAAAAAGACTGACGTTAATGATAGACTGGAAGCTAGACTGGAAGCTAGACTAGAAGCTAGACTGGAAGCTAGACTGGAAGCTAGACTGGAAGCTAGACTAGAAGCTAGACTAGAAGCTAGACTGGAAGCTAGACTGGAAGCTAGACTGGAAGCTAGACTGGAAGCTAGACTGGAAAGAACAATTTCCTAGGCCAAGCTAACCTCTTGACTTTTGTCCTTTCTGTCCAGCTCTAGGCAGGTAGCTGGCTTTGCCCAAATCAATTCAATGAACTCACCCGCTGTCCCCAACACATTCCATCCCTCATTCTCGATACAATTTGATGTCCCAATCGCGTGGGAAGCATTAAAAGGATAGTAGTCAATATAAGTGTTATCGAAAGTCCAGCTGCCAAAGATCAACTTGCACATCTAAAATCAACGATAGCTTTTGAACGAACTTTTGAATAGTCATGCCAAACAAAACAACAAACAATCACCTGAATATCGAAAGGGAAAAACCTAAAAGTGATTCTAACACTGAGGTTCTCATTGACAAACCTCAAATCTAGATTGCAACTCAATTTGTAAATGGTCGGATATAAAAGTTCAATGAAAGCACCCTCAGCTTTTGTCGTCAATTTTGCATTCAATAACCGTCGAGTGTCCCGATCTTCCATTACTAGGCTAAATTTGAGTTTGCTCAAAGAATAAACGATCAAATAGCTATAGATCTTTGATTGTTAATGATCTAATGATATTAGATTGAATACTAAGTCTTGCACCCTTATATAATCGTCAAAAATGGCAGTGCCGAAAGAGATCGAGTAGTGCTCATTCAAAAGCTTGTCATATGAGTTTTGTGACTCGAATTCGAACGCTTTTTGTATATAAATGTAGCCAAGATTTTGGGCTTTAAATCACTATATAACACTTAGAGCTTTCGAAATAAGTTAGACATTTGTCAGCTTTTAGAAAAAGTTCGGGCAGAAGTTTTGGGGCAAGAATATCATTAGATCATTAGATCAAAGCTAAAGCTCAAAGCTAAAGCTCAAAGCTAAAGCTCAAAGCTAAAGCTCAAAGCTAAAGCTCAAAGCTAAAGCTCAAAGCTAAAGCTCAAAGCTAAAGCTCAAAGCTAAAGCTCAAAGCTAAAGCTCAAAGCTAAAGCTCAAAGCTAAAGCTCAAAGCTAAAGCTCAAAGCTAAAGCTCAAAGCTAAAGCTCAAAGCTAAAGCTCAAAGCTAAAGCTCAAAGCTAAAGCTCAAAGCTAAAGCTCAAAGCTAAAGCTCAAAGCTAAAGCTCAAAGCTAAAGCTCAAAGCTAAAGCTCAAAGCTAAAGCTCAAAGCTAAAGCTCAAAGATAACCTACGAGTTGTAAAGAGTAGTGTCGGGTAGCCACAATTTACTATGTGGTACCATGATCTCAGTAACATTCCCATATTTTTTCGGATCCCATTTCAGTAGTTTATCGTACCAACGCTGTAATCAGTAAATCTATTTTTTACTTTCGTTTTATTTCTATAAACACTACAAAACTACAAAACTACAAAACTATAAAACTACAAAACTACAAAAACTGAAAAAGTCTAACTTTCAACCAAAACTAACCTCAACTATCCATGCATTCAACATCAGATATTGTTGTGGCTCGTTCTAGAAATTGTTTCATGAATTTTGAAAATATTAGGTACATGCATAGGTACAGTACTGGACAATGAAATATGATATTTGAAGAAACGATCGTCACTTTCGCGCGTCTGTAACTCCTTTGCCTTTGAGTCTAAACTATTAGTGTTTTACATTTTCTGAAAGCCCTTTTCAAGGGCTACACAATGGTAATATTAATATTTAGAAATACGGTAAAGACAAGGGAGTTATAGACGCGCGAAAGTGACGATCTTTTTTCAAATATGATATTTCGTTGTCCAGTAGTGTATGTCGTAGCCGTTTACATAATTTTCTTACATTCAACTTTTAAGCGTCTTATCTATTAATTTTCTTAGGATTTTATGACCCAATCATGGAATCAGTATGGAAATTCTCAAATATTAGCCTTCAAAATAAGTTCAAATAGATGCTGACTTGTTTGATCAATCATACAGTACTGGACAATGAAATATGATATTTGAAAAACGATCGTCACTTTCGCACGTCTGTAACTTCCTTGTTTTTGAGTTTAAACTATTAGTCTTTTACATTTTCTGAAAGCTCTTTTCAAGGGCTACACAATGGTAGTATTAATATTTAGAAATACCGTATTTTTGACGCATTTTAGCGCGCTCGAAAGTGACGATCGTTTTTCAAATATGATATTTCATTGTCCAGTACTCTACATGCATAAGAAATGCGAATTTCAACATTTTCATAAATTTCCAACGATAGAAATCTGATATCGATATTGATGATATCGATGAATGTTATATACTATTTGAAAGTTGTAAATCTCCTCTACAAAATAGGCTAAAACGTTTTTTCAATTGATCGAAGCATTGAAGAAATTTCGGGCGATTGAAGAGGACGAAATGCGAGTGACCAAAAAAGGAATCGAGTCACTGTAGGGACAAGTTTAGTGTGGTCAAAATCGAGTTAGCTTCCGAAAATTGAAGATTTAAAAACAAAAAAGGATAACTATATATGAATTCATTAAAAAAGTCTAACGGAAATGCATTTACAGAAATTTAGATGGAGCGTAAGTTCAAAACCCTCAAAATTGTCAAAAAAACCGGCTTTTTCACAAAAAAGAAAAATTACTGTAAAAACGAAGTTTTCCCATGAAATGATCCCAACTCTTAGGCTGATTTTGAATGATTTTTTTAGAGAATGATTAGTTTCCACTATATAGTCAAAAGCGAACTCTTGTGAGAGTGGGGTTTTCAAGAAAGTGCCCCTTTGACCACACTAAACTTGTCCCTAAAGTGACTCGATTTCTTTTTTGGTCACTCGCATTTCGTCCGCTTCAATCGCCCGAAATTTCTTCAATGTTTCGATCAATTGAAAAAACGTTTTAGCCTATTTTGTAGAGGAGATTTACAACTTTCAAATAGTTTATAACATTCATCGACATCGATACCAGGTTTCTATCGTTGAAAATTTATGAAAATGTTTGAAATCCGCATTTCTTATGCATTTATCAAATAAATTTGAATGATTCACAAACCACTTCAATGATTTGATAAAGTTCCATGCTGAAAAACACGCGAATTGATTCGTTTTGTCTTTTTTTTGGAATAAGATCGTGGTTATACTTGGAGAAAATTTCTTCAGAAATCTTGTAGTGAAAAGGAGTTGAATCTGAAAAGGATTACTCAAAAAATAAACACAAACGCACACTTTCTAGTGAACTAAATCTTCATGAATCTTTTTTTCTTGCTGAAATCAATGTAATGTAGTAAGAAAAAGGAAGATCTGCGAAGATCTGTGAGATTTCAGAAGATCTGCGAGATTTCAGAAGATCTGCGAGATTTCAGAAGATCTGTGAGACTTCAGAAGATCTGTGAGACTTCAGAAGATCTGTGAGATTTCGGAAGATCTGCGAGACTTCAGAAGATCTGTGAGATTTCAGAAGATCTGTGAGATTTCGGAAGATCTGCGAGACTTCAGAAGATCTGTGAGACTTCAGAAGATCTGTGAGACTTCAGAAGATCTGCGAGACTTCAGAAGATCTGCGAGACTTCAGAAGATCTGCGAGATTTCAAAAGATCTGCGTTTCAGATTCATCTGACAATAAGCTTCTACTGTATTTTAGATCTTTCTATTTTCTATTGTTTATCTTTCTATTTTCTATTTTCTTATCTTTCAAATGTTTTTTATTTTGATTCTTATTGAAAATTTCCTTTTAACTGACCATGTTCGGAAATAACGTCATTGAAAAAAGTAAATGAGTAAATTGAAACCATCAAAAATCCTTTCGAAAGCATTTTCTGAAAGAAATTTTATTGAAAAATTAAGAAAATTTTGAAAATTTTGAAAAAAAAGCACAAAAAAGTTTTTTTGTCTTTTGAAGTCTTTTGAACATTTTTGAACAAACTATTTTAATATTTAAAAGAAAGATGTGTGCTTAGAGCTTTGATCTTTCAAAAGTTTCAAGACAAAACTGTGGCTTAGAAATTGAAGAACAAATCTAGAAAGTATCAAATATTGGTAAAATTCTATTACTTAAAAAAAGCGTTTTATAGATCGCCTTTCGAATTGTGAACATTACGAATTGTTAACTAAATACCGTATTCTCTCTAATAGTAGTGCACCCAAGCCAGCCGAGTTGATGCCTATTTTACAGTTTCGAAGTTTTCCCAGAAGTTTCCCAGAAGTTTCCCAGAAGCTTACCACTTCAATCCTCCACTACATCTCAACGTCAGCTCCCGACTAAGATACTGAGCTCTTGACGAAGTGAATGAGAAAATGAAGTTAAAAAAAAAAGAAGCCAGTCGACCATGACGAAAAGTGAATGAGAAAATCATCAAAATCGGTCCACTAGTTTTGAAGTTACAGCCACGAAAAGTGGTGCGGTCAAGGGTTTAGTTCGGGTTTAGTTTAGTCAAGGGTTTAGTTCGCATTCGGACGTAACATATACCGTATTCTCTCTAATAGTAGTGCATCCCGCGGAACCGAGTTGATGACTATTTTACGGTTTCCAAGTTTTCACAGAAGCTCAACACTCAAATCCCCCACTAGATCTCATCGTCAGCTACATTTTCCGACCCCACATCGATAGGTTCTGATAAGCGCTTTTCGAGATTTCGAGAAATTTAGACGAAGCTTAGGGTGCACTACTATTAGAGAGAATACGGCATTGGGTTGGAAGGTAAGTTCTGTTTCGTTTTCTTTTGGAAGAGGTGCTTAAACTTTTGGAAGAGGTTCTTAAAATCAACCAATTTACTTAACCAATGTTATAGCTCATTCGAAAGTTGAATTCAAGGCGGGAAAAAAGTAAATCGGGCAAATCTCGCAATTGCAATCTGACAATCGGTTTTCTAACTCGTTCAACGAAATCACAAATCATTTGTGAAAGTTTTCGATCGTGATCACCTATCACCGATCAAAGAAAAGGAAATCTCTGACTCGAGCTAATAAAGCTAAGCTCGAAGCTCGAAATAAAGCTAATAAAGCTCGAATAAAGCTAAAGAGGCAAAGATCCTCTCTCAATAGTCTTTAGTCAGAATAAAACCGTTTGAAGACGAGTTGAAAGTGTCACAGATTGGCAAGCATCGTAAAATGACGTTTCTAATCGGGAATAGCAGGGTCAAACGACAATCAAATAAGCAAAAATTGTTTTTCTAAAGTCTTGTTTTTTTCAAAAAAATAGTGACCAGATTTAATGGCAGAAAAAGAAATTCGCCTAGCTTGAGAAAATTTGATTTAAAATGGAGGTCAAACCTCAGCCGGAGCTTTCTTTAGGGTCAACTTCTTGAAACGATCGTCAAAAAAGCAAGAAGAATCTTTTTCTTTCAGTATATCATTCAATTTAAATATATTATATCAAAATTTAAATAGTTTTGACTAGATTTAAATAGTTTTGACTAGATTTAAATAGTTTTGACTAGATTTAATCAATGAATCTAAATGAATCTAAATCTAATAAAGTCATTTTCTTTACTATTTCTCTTTATCTAACTAGAGAAAATGTCGAAATTTAGATTTATCCTTTTTTTCGGAAATTTGGTTATAGAAAAGTTCAATTTATTTTGTATACTCTGATGTAAGAAAATCGAGAAAATTTGTCTCAAAGTTGAACTACCTACCTGGAAGAGCCAATCAACTAACTCAAGATAAAGAAGTTGAATCAACTTATGGTTAGTTTCATTAGAATCTTCATTAAATTTGGTTATAGAAAAGTTCAATTTATTTTATATATTTAAGAGAATGTAAGAATGTAAGAAATGCAAGAAAAGAAACAATTCTGATGTAAGAAAATAGAGAAAATTTGAGTCAAAGTTGAACTACCTACCTGGAAGAGCCAATCAACTCAGATGGTCTATAACTCGAGGTATAGAAGCTGAATCAACTTATGATTGATTTCATTAGAATCTTCATTAAATTTGGCTATAGAAAAGTCGAATTTGTTTTGTAGACTTACTCATAAGAAAATAGAGAAAATTTGAGTCAAATGTTGAACTTCCAGATAAGAGTCTTAGAGTTCGGAGACTCTTCCAAATTCCGTGGTGAGTCTCGAAGTTTGGGGACTTTTATATTTTGCTCTATAACTCGAAAAAATACGGAAGTACCATTTTCCAAGCAAAAGCTCCATTTTCGGTGATCCAAAACCAAATGTCAGCTTTTTTTTTTGCAAAAGTCAAGCGCCCGGAAACGTTTTCTCGGGGATAATGTTAAACAAAGCATGAAAAAAATGCCCACTCACAAATCAATAAGGAATCATTTTTTGTTTCTGCAGAAATGTCTCTGCATTTTTTGTCTCTGCAAAAAAAAAACGGAAGAAAATAAAACAGAATGTTGGAATAAAACGGAAAGAGTAAAAGTCGGGGTGCCTCTTTTTGGAACTTAAAAAAAGTGGAGGTTCCGCACATTTGCACTCAAACAATGGAGAGTAGTGGACGAGGAAAATCTTTTTTAAAAAGAAAATAAAAGAAGATTTTTTTTCCTTAATAAATAAAAAGGATTTTAAAAACAAACTAGACTAAAACTAAAAAGAATTAAAAAGAAATAAAAAGAAGTGATTTCAGAACTAAAAAGAGATCAAATCAGACTTAAAAAAGAGATTAGAGAATTGCTTTGATGAGTTAAAAGTTCAGAATAATCAATTCGCCGATTGATTTTTCGGATCATTACCTTAAATTTTGTATTTTAGCTGTAACTTTCCATTCTGTTAAACCATTGTCCTACTTAAGTAGGAGCCTTAAGTAGGAGCATTAAGTAGAGCATTAAGTATAGCCTTAAGTAGAGCCTTAAGTATAGCCTTAAATAGAGCCTTAAATAGAGCCTTAAATAGAGCCTTAAATAGAGCCTTAAATAGAGCCTTAAATAGAGCCTTAAATACTTAAGTAGGAGCCTTAAGTATAGCCTTAAGTATAGCCTTAAGTATAGCCTTAAGTATAGCCTTAAGTATAGCCTTAAGTATAGCCTTAAGTATAGCCTTAAGTATAGCCTTAAGTATAGCCTTAAGTATAGCCTTAAGTAGAGCATTAAGTAGAGGCTTAAGCAAAGCCTTTACAGCTAAAATACAAAATTTAAAGTAATGATAAAAGATCGATGGTCGAATCGATCATCGAATCGATCGGCGACAGTAGCCAAATTGAGAGAACTAAAGCTCGATTCTCTTAGTCTCTTTGTTAGTTTACATTTAAACTAAAATCAATGATTATTTTCATCTTTTTCTTCAAATGATTAGAATCAAATGACGCAAAAAGACGAAAATATTCAAAGCCTCATTCTTCTTTTCCCTTCAATATCTATTTTTGGCATCTAAGACAAAAATCGAATTAAATTCAACGCTCTTTTATACCCTTTTCTTCAATGTTACACCAAAAATCAACAAAAATAATCTTTGGCTGTTTTTTTCAATTAAAAAATGAAGGAAATTTGATGAATGACACTTTGAAAGATGTCTTTGAAAGAAAAAAGTTGAATAACAAAGTTGAATAACAAATTTGAAGCAGAGAAAAAGCTATAAACTATTGATGAAAGAATTTTAGCTAATAAAAAACAAAATGTTTGACATTCTTTGACATTTTTTGCTTTTTCTAATTTGATTTGATGCATTTGCGCGCGTGATTTAATGAAGGAAAACCTTTTGAACAAGAGCTTTGAACAAGAGCTTTGAACAAGAGCTTTGAACAAGAGCTTTGAACAAGAGCTTTGAACAATTAAATGAATAAGCAGGCTTTGAAAATGGCTTTAAAAATTTAGAATTTGCAATAAAATACAATAAAATACAATAAAATGTTTTTGGTCGAGGTTAACTACGAGTAAAACCTCTTTACACGTCGAGTAAATTGAATCTCTTTAAAAGGAGTATATTATATAACAAAATGTTTGACATTTTATATGCTTTTTCTAATTTGATTTGATGCATTTGCGCGCGTGATTTAATGAAGGAAAACCTTTTTGAACGAGAGCTTTGAACAAGAGCTTTGAACAATTAAATGAATAAGCATTTGTGCTCGATGAAAAATTGCTCGCTGGGCAATGTTTTTTCTTTCGGAGCCTCGGAAATTCACTTTTCTTTGAGTTAACAGAAAGCCGCTGAACACCGGAAATCCTTTAAAAAACTTTGTAAAACGAAAAAAGTAATGTTTAGATTTAAAATTTGATTTAAAAAACGGAGAATCAATTTTATTAGGTGTGTGAAAAAGTAATCCACGTTTTTTATTTTTATCTGATGACCAAATAAGACGCTGTCTTCTCGTTCAACCCTCGTTCAACCTCTTCAGAAATAGGCCTTACATTAAATTGTGATGGGTCAACCGTAAGGAAACGCTTGAATGCCATGAATTTTATCAAAAAGTTCGACAAATGGATACCGCATGAATTGAGCGAAGAAAACAAAACAATGCGCCTTACAATCGCCAATTCTTTGATTAGTAAACATCAACTTGAGCCATTTATTGATCGAATTGTTACGTGTGATGAAAAATGGGTTGATTACGATAATTCTAGAAGGTCTGGACAGTGGGTGGAACGTGGTAAACCTGCTGGGACAATGCCCAAAAAAAGCCTCCATCCGAAAAAATTTTAATGACAGTTTGGTGGACTGCACAAAGGAGCTTTAAAGGAGTTTTAAAGGAGTTTTAAAGGAGCTTTGAAGGAGCTTTAAAAGAGCTTTAAAGGAACTAAATAGGGACTATAAAGGAGCTTTAAAAGAGCTTTAAAGGAACTAAATAGGGACTATAAAGGAGCTTTAAAAGAGCCTTA